TTGTGAGTGCTACAGTGGCCCTGGAGGGACAAGGGCGGGGGGAGCATGCTTACCATATAAGGGAGGAAAAGAGGCTTGCTCTCCCGTTATGCTCTTGTTGCTTTTGCTGTCTTCTGCTGCCATGAGTTGTTCCTCTCTGCCACACCACCCTTCCTTGGAGCCAGCTGATTACAGACTGAAACCTCCACAAACTGCGAACTAAATAATCCTATTCTTCCTTAATTTTGGGCACCAGGTAGAATTTGATACCAGGAGTGGAATCATTGCTATAACTAACCTGACCATGTGGTTCAAGAGCCTTTGCAAATGGCTTGTAGGAAGAGTTCAGAGATGTCATGTGAAAGAGAAGAGCTGGAATGGCTTAGGCTGTTCTGTATGGAACATTCTGATCAGAGCTGAAAAACCAGAAAACCAGCCAAGTCCAGGCTCAGGAGGTTTCTGCTGGGAAGAACGACTGCATTAGTTGTTGGAGTCCAGATGATGTATGTTATGGCTTGGCAGAAAGTTTGTCTGCATTTTTTTCATGTTTGGAGATTTTGCCTAAGACTGAGATGAAGGATAGCAGACTAATTAATCTGGCAAAAGAAATTTCAAGGCAGCTGAATGTTGAAGTGTCGGGATAGTTATTGTTGGGGGCTTTTAATAAGATCTATGTTGAAAATCAAGAGCAAAGAGACCATCAGGATGACTTAAACTATGAGTTTGACCAGAAAGGAAACTCCAGTAAAGCTCTGGACTATAAACATAGAGTGGAGGATTCCTTCCCAATTGCTGGGAAGGAACAAGAGGATATAAAAGAGGTCTGAGGGTTTCACAAGAAGCAGCAAACCCCACCCTTTGCAGCCTCAAAACTGCAAAAGTGAAAGTCTTTTTTTGAGGAGAAAGCCTTCCAGAATAGCAGTGGCCATGATGTGTTTAAGAATGGTGGCAGCATAAAAAATTTGCTCCTTAGAACTGGATTCAGTGTCCAGCAATCCAGGCACTCAACTACTGTAGCCAAGAGAGAGGAAAGCCTGGCTACTGCTCCAGCTGGCAAAAAACCGAGGCATAATCCACACGATGCTGGTTTGAAATACATGCAGAATAGAAGAGTTGTGGGGTTAGGAAGGCGTCCACCCAGATTTCAGAAGAAGGCCTGGGAGGCCAGAAAATGTGCCCCAGAGAGCAGTGTGTGGAGCTGTGAGTGTGAAGTTGAAGGTGCAGTGGAGACCCCTGACGTTTGAGAAGCTAGGATTGTGGATCATCTAAGGAAAGTTGCAAGGAGGAAACAAAGCAGCCTTACAGAGAAACCACTGCAAATGCCATAGGGGTGGAGTCCACTCAAGTCATTTGGAGCTCATGATTTGCTACAGATTGCTTCAGACGCTGGATGTGAAACTACAGGACTTTATTTTCTCTGCTGCATTTTGGGCTTGCTTTGGTCCTAATCCTTTGTATCCCCCATTTGTATCTTTTGGAATGAAAATGATTAGCCTGTGGCATTGAATGTTGAAAGTGTTTAACTTTTCATTTGCACAGGGGCTTGTAGCTAAGAGTTTTCCTTACATCTTAAGACTTGGGACTTGAGCTTTTCAGAATGTTGAAACTGTTAGGACTCTAGCAACTTTTGCAGATGGATGTGTCCTCCATAAAGGGATGTGCATGAGTCTTTGGGGGGCCAAGGGAAAAAACATTATGGTTCTAAAGTAATATAATGTTGATAGAATTAATACTGGTTTTTAAGAATTATTAAACCAGTGTTATAATGTTCAAGTTGTGAAATGATATGAATAAACATGTCTTTGTATCTGGAAACTTGCTTAAAGAAAGGTGTCTAGTTGCCAAGTTGACAAACGGTGAATTGTAATGGTTCTATATGGACTACTGTAATGGTAACCTCTGCAAATTGTAAGCTAATAAATCTTTTCCTCTTTAACTTTGTGTATTGGGTATTTTGTCTCAGCAACGAGAAAATTATCCAAGATACCAGGTGCTACACAGTATTACTTCTGTAATAAATCACAATTATCACAGAATCTTTTTTTTTTTTTTTTTGGTACCAGGGATTGAATTCATGACCTTGTGCTTGCCAGGCAGGCACTTGTGCCACTGAGCTAAATCCCTACCCCCACATAACCTTCTTCTGTGACTTCTCTGACAGGCTAGGAGCTCTGGAGACTAGGGACCTGGAACTGTGTGCCAGCCCCATGCACAGCCAGGTGTGCTCCCCCAAGACCTGTGTGCAGTTGTGGTCAGCCTGGCTCCCTCCTGTCTATAAAGAGTCAGTCTGTTGACACTTTGTCCTGCTATTACTAAATACCAGGAACTGGGTAATCCAGAAACAAAGAAATGCCTTTCTCACAGTTCTGAGGCTGGGAAGGTCAAGGGGCTGCATCTGTAGAGGGGCTTCCTGTGTGTCATAACCCAGCAGGAGAGGAGGGTGTGATGACGCTCACCTGTAATCCCAGCACTGAGGAGGCTGAGGCAGGGTCTCACTCACTAAACTGCCAAAATACCTGATACCAGGTATCTGCGACCTGGCCAAAGATCCCCAACTGCCTGTACAAAGGATATGATGAAAGGATAAAATAGGAGACAAATTTAGTAATACATGAAAAGGGGGTGGAAAGGTCAATGCCTCAGGATGAGCAAAAACAAAGACTCCCTGGTTCACCACTATTTTTATTGGCCAGCGCATGGGGAGGTGTAGTGGATGATTTCAGGAACGGTAACGGCAATTACAGCGGGCTAGTAAAAGAACAAAGCATTCATGCAAGGATGAGACACGGACCAATAAGGCAACTGTAGTGTTCCTGGGTGAAGCTTTTCCTACTGATACTACATTGCTTTAAAGGTCCCGGTTGTCTTCAACTACAGGAAGTGCCATAGGGACGGAGCCACTCAAGTCTTTTGAAGTTCACATCTTGCCACACAGTTCCTCAGATGAAGGATGTGGAATGACAGGATTTGATGTTTGCCCTGCTGGATTTTGGGATTTTCTTTGACCCCATTCCTTTGTATCTCTCTATTTGTACCTTTTGGAATGGGATTTTTTTTTTTTTTTTTGAGACAGGGTCTTGATACATAGTCCAGGCTGTCCTTGAACTCAGCAATCTTCCTACTCAGTTTTCCACGTGCTGGGACTACAGGTGTGTGCCACTATGCCCAGGGGGAATGTTTATCTTGTGCCACTGTGTGTTGAAAGTGTTTAACTTTCTTTTCCTTTGTACAGAGGATGTCAGCGAAGACTTTGCCTTAAATTTCAGAGGAAACTTTGGATTTGGACTCTTCAGCAATGTTGAAATTGATAGGACTGGGGGCTGGAAGTTTAGCTCAGCGGCATAAGTGCCTGCCTTGCAAGCAGGCAGTCGTGAGTTCGATCCCTGGTACCGATAAAAAGGAAAAAGACAAAAAAAAAAAAAAAAAAAGAAAGAAATTGATAGGACTTTGGCAACTCTTGGAGATGGACTAAATGCCTTTTGCATAAAGGAATGTACAAGTCTTTAGGGCAGCCAGGGGCAGAATATTATGGTTCCTGTCTCGATGTCTTCCTAATGTCTCATGCAGTCGTGGGTGGGGCTTTTCAAAAGTGGCTGGATCTAGAGTGTGTGATGCTGGAATCAAGGATGTGATTGCTTAAACCACTGATTGCTTAGGCATAGTTCTGAGTAGGATTAAGGATGCCCCATCTGGGTGTATTATCCACTCTAAGAGGGAGGATCCTTGGATAGAATATAAGGGAAGCAGGGCTGCTATGCTTGCTGCCTGGTATCTTCCTCCTTTGCTGCCTGCTGCCTACCATGGCCCGTTCCTCCTCTGTGATGCCCCTCTATCACGCCACTCTGCCTTGGAACTAGCCAACTATGAAATGAAACCTCTACAAACTGTAAGTCAAAACATAAGTCTTTCCTCCTCTAGTTTTGCATGTTAGGTATTTTGTATCAGCAACAAGAAAAAGACACTTGGTTCAATCCTTAAACCCTCCTGCCTTAGCCACCCAGAGTGCTGGGGTTATAGGCATGTGCCACCATGGTTGGTGTGTGGTTTTATTCTACAGGACACAAAGCAGCACCTTCAAGCAAATGAAGAGATCTAGAGGGTGAGTTGTAGAAACAGAACTATGAATACAGAACTAAGTCCTCTCCTCACCATCAGGCTGTCACTTCTGCTCACTGGCTAGGAAGCTGCACTGAGCTGTGTCCAGAGTTGCAACCAGGTTTTAAAACACATGCACAGGGGCTGGGGATTTAGCTCAGCGGCATAAGCGCCTGCCTTGCAACAGGCAGTCGTGAGTTCGATCCCGGTACCGACAAAAAGCAAAAAGACAAAAAACAAAAACAACAACAACAAAAAAGCCACGTGCACAATTGTTTAACTCACAGCTAGAGAGCAGTTCTGCCTTCCCCCTTGGCCTCAAACCTCTCACCAAATGGCCGTGTGTGCAGAATGACCGCTCCCCCTTCTGCAGTTAGTATGGCTCTCCCGAGTCACCACCTCATTCCTAGCAGACCAGGATTTAGTCTCAGACTAATTCCTTGCTCTGCAACACGCAGTGTAGCGTTTCCCACCAAAGCTCTCACTGCACTCCAGCCCAACCTTCTATCCTGACGTCCACAGACTGCATCCAGTCACTGGTCCTTAGCAAGTCTACCCCTCTGCTCTCCATCTCTGCAACTTTACCCCTAATCACGTGCAAATGCCTTGCCTATGAACAGAAGTATTCTCCAGAGAACCACAGCTCCATGAGAAACTGACATTGCTACCGATGTCATCTGATACGTGGGTCATATTTAAGATTTTCAGTGCTTTATAGATGATCCTCACCACATCTGGCCCACTCATTACAGTTTTTGCTTTTTCCAGTAATGTGGATTGAACCTAGGGTTTTCGTAGCGAACTGCATTCTCAGGTCTTTTTATTTTGAGACAGTGTCCTGTTAAATCGCTAAATTGCCCAGATTGGGCTCAAATTTGCGATCCTCCTGTTTCAGCCACCCGAAGTGGAGGGACTACAGGGATGCACCCCCACGTCCGGTTTTGGCCCTTTCTCTTCTAAAGAAGATTTCCCTGATGGCGTGAGTGCTTGCGCTGTCATGGGGTATGGTGCGTATCCTCGCCGAGCTGGGCGGCGTCCTAGCGCAGTCCGCAGTGCAGATAGCTCGGAACCGCGCACTTCCTCGGCATTCCACGACCGCGGTGCCACATGGGTCTTCGGAAGTGGGTGTTGGCGGCGCTCCCGAGAGGCCCCACGCCCCCGGAAGTGCTTGCTCCTCGCGCTTCCGGCAGGCTCCGCGGCTCCGGAAGTACATGCTCTTGTGTTCCGGGTGGGTAGTGCAGCCATGGACCCACCCCGCAGCCCCATCCCGGCCGTCGGATCGCTTTCCCCCGCCGAGTCTCCCCCGGCCTCAGTGACCCTGGCGCAGCTTCTACAGCTGATGCAGAGTGGCCAGGAACTCCCGGGTCTAGAGAAGCGCCACATCACGGCAACCAACGGCGACCCCACGGCATCCCGGCTCCCGCGGAGGCCAAAGCCCTGGGAGGCCACCGCCCCGCCGCCATCGGGCTCCTGAGACCTGGTCCCGGGGGGGCCCAGATCCTGAGCGACAGTGCCCCGCACGGACTTGGGACTCTGCTAACCGGCCACACTATCTTTTATGGGTTTGTCCTGGCCAGACGCAACCGGACTGGAATCTCCCCGGGGCGGCCCGCTGCTCGGACTCTGGACTAGATAAGATTCTCAGTTAAAAATAAAACCCTGCTCCAACGGTATCAGCTACCGGAAAGAGCTTCCAGCTTCAGCATCTGCCTGGCGTCAGTTTTCTCTGTCAGAATTACTACCCAGAGGGAAGCTGGGCTACAGTTCAGCGGCAGAGCCCTTGGCGGGCCGGTGGAAGCCCTGGCCCTGGCGCCCAAGAAAACATGCGACTCAGCATCGCACTTTAGGGTTGGTTAGTAACGCGGAACGTCAGCCAGCCAAGCTGGACACCAGGCCAGCCTGTTCGGTGCTGGTGACAAAGGGAACTTGGGATCTCGGTGGCTTTTCCTAGACGCGTTGAAAGGGAAAAGGTTCAATAGTAACATCACAGCAAAGAAAAAGCACCGTGACCGCCTTGTGAAGGCTGAGCCTCGGTGTTCACTGCACCCAAAACTACCTCCCTGACAGACCCTGGGTGAGGGCTGCCTTAGCAGTGTGGTCTGATCACAAGCATTTTAGAAGTGCGTTTTGATGACCTTTTACATTTATATAAAATTTTAAGTTGAGAACTATTATTTTAACTTTGTGCAGGGCGTGGTGATTTTACTAAGTAGAACACCTAACCTCAAACGCAACAATTAATTCTGCCTCAGCTGGGATTATAGGCCTAGGCCATGACACCTGGCTTTAATGGCCTTTTTAACCACTAAAGCCCGTCTAGTGGACAAGCTAGAAGATACTGGCTCTTTACAGCCAAGAGTAGAAACAGGGTTTTTTTTTGTTTTTGAGACAGGGTCTCACTACGCAGTTCAGGCTGGCCTTGAGCTCACTTTGTGTAGCCCAGGCTGGTCTCAAACTCAGCATGATCTCCCTGCCTCAGCCTCCCACTTGCTGGGATTACAGGTGTGAGCTAGAGAGGGAACCCAGGGCCCTTGCAAGTGCTAGGCAAGTGCTGTATACTGAGCTGCATTCCCAGTCTCCTCTTATTAAAACAGCCCAGTTATAAACCCAGCTTCCATACCTAGACTGTTCAACAATTTATTGTTTTTGAGACGGTCTTGCTATGTAGCTCAGGCTGGCTTTGAACTCATGGCAATCCTGTCTCCTTCACCCCAGTGCTGGGATTGCAGGTGTGCACCACCACAGGCCTGGCTGATACATCCTTTTAGAGCTATGACTGCATAATAAAGGTAAAATCTCAAACATCTATTCCTGGCAGGTTAAGTATGGAACCAACCTGCCTAGTAAGGAGTTCCGTAACCTGGCAGCCGGTAGGGTAGGGTCACTCCTCTCACTTGGGTGCAGACCCAACACTGCAGTGAGGCCGCTGAGAAAGATGGGGGAGCGTAAAGGCTGCGTAAGTGTGCAGTCACCCGGGCCTGTCCTGGCGCCTCCTCACCAACTGCTGATTGTGAGTGATGGAACAGCAGAAGATGCTGGGAGGCCAACCCAGCATCGCACCCTTGAGTCACACTGGGACCCAGGTAACATTTTCACTTTGGGCAGCCATTTCCCAGACAGGCAGTGAAAGGAAGGTTTGATGATAAAATCTGGCCCCAGAATGTCTTCAAAGAGCCATGGAATGGGGGCTGGAGGTTTAGCTCAGTGGCATAAGCGCCTGCCTTACAAGCAGGCAGTCATGAGTTCGATCCCTGGTACCGATAAAAATGAAAAAAACAACAAAAAAAACAGGCAGTCGTGAGTTTGATCCCCGGTACCGATAAAAAGGAAAAAGAAAAAAAAAAAAAAAAAGCTATGGAATGAAAACTGAGCAGCAACTGTGTGCCAGCAAGGGCTTCTGAGACATTCCCAGAACCACTGTTGCTGGTCTACTCGCATCGTTACCAGGACAAAGCTGATACTCTGAGTCTAGAATATGCAAGTAAAAAATCTGTTCACAGTCTAAAAACCTAATTTTATCCATGCCAAACCAAGAAAATGGCCTTTTCCTGACCTGGGTTTTAAGGAGACAGTTGTCAGGGAAATCTGGAAATTACATCCTGAAGCTCAAAAAAAAAAGGAGAGCATTTCTCAGTTACAGATGGTGCAAGCGGCAACACTACGTGTTAAGCAGAAACACCCAATTGGCTAGGGAAGCTTTGGTCTTCTAGAGGGCATGAACCAGGCAACCAGCTAGCTCAGGGACTGGGTGACAAATACCAGGATTTTTTTTTTTTTTTTTTTTTTTTTTTGTCTTTTTCGGTACCAGGGATCGAATTCATGACCGCATACTTGCAAGGCAGGCACTTATGCCACTGAGGTAAATCCCCAGCCCCGGAACAGGATTTCTTTATGCAAGATGCACAAGTCCTGAAAGAGAGGACTCCAGGACATCCTGAAATTCCCACCAAGCTTAGCGAGTACCTATCTTCTAGGAAAAAAAGGCCTTTTCCAAATTCTGAGCTAGAGAAAAGAAGCTGAGTCAGTTCCAAGCCAGAATAAAAATGCTACCTTAGGGCCAGGAATTTAAGCAGCAAAAGCGCCTGCCTGGCAAGTGTTGAGATTGTGAGCTTTGATTCCCAGAACCAAAAAAAAAAGCCACCTTAGCCAGCCAAGTCTGAGACTTCACAGAGCTGTCACTGAAAGCTAGAACATGAACTCATAACAGAGACAACACTTGTTTTCATCGTTGTAACTGTATTTCAAGTCTTTTCAAAAGAAGGTCCTAGGGCTCCAGACTCAAGCAGGCCTCCAGGCTGGGTCCACCGCTACAGGTCATAGGGAGCCGCTAAGGTTATCCATTCACCAGCACCCAACTCCGTGACAGAAGATGCAACAAAACAGGACTTCTTCATCCGTTGATGTGTTGATTTCAGCGGCAGCTGGGGACAATCTGGAAAACAACGGAACTTTTTCTTGAAACTGGGCAGTGAGGAGAGGTGCCTGCCACTGCACCTGTCGGTTCCCTGACTTCTTCCAGGCTCTGAAGGCAGAAAATCATCTTCTCTGAAGACACTGGGTAACAGTTCCAGAAACAAACACATGCTTCCAAGGCACTGCTTTGATATTCTGAGGGGAATAAACCAAACAGGTGTCAATGTAAACGCAACACAATCTGCTGCCCAAGAGAAACAACAGCAGCAATAAAAACCAGTTTCAAAGTTAAGTTTCTCAGCAAAGTACATAGGTGACTTAGGTCCTAAAATTCTTTTAACTTCCATTCTTCCTTGCCTGTTTCCAGCTAAATGACCACAGCGATACAGAAGTGTTTCTAGCCTGTAACCTGCTGGGAACTGAACCCACCTTGGGCGTGTTAGACGCCCGCTCTACCACTGCACACCACCACCCCTGGCCTGTCACTTCAGTCTGGAGTTCATCTAACTGGTAAATACACGCTGCTTTCCTCCCAACCTTACATCTACTCTCATCTACTAGTAAATATGTTAAAAACCTTCTCCCCCTCCCTACTGGAAAGGCCCAAATCCAAGGTCTTTCCTATGCTGGGCAAGTACTATACCACCAACTGCCTCAGCCCACAAAAAGAACTTCCAGGAGACAGAGTGTGGTCCATCAAAGGTTGGACAAGGACACTGTTCAGCGCTGGCTCACCTGGAACTAGTTCAGCTGGCGGATGAGCTGGTTGATGCGTTCACCCCGATAGCCAGGTGAGCCCATCTCCTTGAGGAAGCCCACCCTGTTCTTGGTAGCGTGCCGGGCCACAGACAGGTGGAAAGGGCGCAGGAACTGAGAGATCTCCATGAAATGCACCCCAGGAAAGGCGATTTCGTGAATGAGGTCTTCCAGGCAAATGACACCAAATTTTCCTAAGAGTCATAAAGGCAAATTCCTTTGTTCCCTGTCTATGCAGCTTACACTGAGAAGCTCTCGGCGACCCAATAAGGACCCACCCTGATTCCCACACCAGTGCCACCAAAAACCCTTGCTTTCTGGGCCCATCTGACCCTTCCATGTGGCACTCACCCAGGTGTTCCTCGATCACAGTGTTGTCTGTCAGAGGGAAGGTCTTATTCTTGACCTTGGCCTGTCCACGTTTCAAAATGAGTTCCCGGACAGACTTCAGATTTGGAAATCTATGTGAAGCAGAAGCAAGCACAGCCTTAGCTAGTGCCTGGCACACTGCCACTGGCCACACAAGGCTGTGGCCTGGCTGAGAAGAGGCAGGAGAATTCTCCTCCCCACCCCATCCCTCTCCCCGGAGTGTCCTGTACTTTTCAGCTGTAGATACATATGTACCTGAGGGGGATTAAAACACAGTGGCCCTGGCTACGCAAGGTGAAACAGTTTACTTCTCAGCTAGAACAAAAACCACACCTTGTACTTGCTCTGACAGCACAGTACTAGCAAACCGTATCTTGGCTTCCAGTCTACTCAAGTACAAAAGCTGTGCATTACACCCACGCCTGGGGCTGGGGATTTAGCTCAGCAGCATAAGCACCTGCCTTGCAAGTGCGTGGTCGTGAGTTTGATCCCTGGTACTGGTTTAAAAAAAAAAAAAAAAACCCAAGCCAACACTGGGCTTTAATGCATGAGGAGTACTAATTACTGTTATACAATAAGCACAGCCTCAAGACCCCAAGCTGTCAACTGAACAAGCCTTGCCACAATACTGTTCAGTCTGAGTCAGCATCTCTGATCCTGCTCCTATCAGCTCCGTGTCCTAAAGTTCCTGATTTCTGGGCAATATGGTCACAGATCCAACAGAGTACACAAGCCTGGGAGAATGCCGAGCGCCGTGAACACATGTGGAAACACTCACCCCCAGGTCACATAAGGCTCCACTATCCGCAGCATTTTGAGGGTTTTGGGGTTGACTTTAACAAAGACACCACTGAACAACTTCTTCAGGCGAAGTCTTGCAATGGTATTCTGTACTAGTAAACTCACCCCGTTGATACTGAAACACATACACACAAAGAGAAGTCAGGCCCGCTCCGGTTTATGGCAATCCAGCAAGCATTCAGAAATGGGTACTGTTCCACTAGGAGTATAGGGAAAGACGCAGCATTTTGTTTTGTTTTTCCGGTACCGGGGATTGAACTCACAACCTTGTACTTGCTAGGGAGGCACTTATGCCGCTGAGCTAAACCCCGGGCCCAACGAAGCATTTTTGAAGAGAGGCAGTAGAGTTTTTGTTTGTTTTTATCGGTACCAGGGATCAAACTCACGACTGCCTGCTTGCAAGGCAGGCGCTTATGCCCCTGAGCTAAATCCCCAGCCCAAGGCAGTTTGTTAATGTACTGTCTTCTCTGATGTGGAGCAACGCCCAAGATACAACGGGAACAGAAAGTCCCTGAACTTGTGGGCCGTGACATAGCATGATGTATTTCTAGCCAAGGAAGCTGGACTTGCTGGCAGTGAAAGCTACTAAAGACTGTAAACAAGAAAAACCATCAGTTTTTCCTTCTGATAATCCCTGAATGCAGTCTACAGATAAAATCTCAAGGCTGTGAACCAGACACAGAAAATCTAGTTAGGAAACTCCAGGAAAGACATTATGGGCAGTGGTAGGAGGGCTGAAGACAGAACTTGTAAGTATTTAAAATTCACAAGTTTCACAGCAAGAGTCACACAGCTGCATGAGAGAGGAGGACACGTCAGCAAAATGCCACTAAACATGGAAATTTCTTCTTGTACTGAATACGCACCACCCATTCATTCAGCCTTGTTTTAGTTCCTAGAAAGATGCCTTGATTTACTTCAAGATCTTGCTTAGAAATCTTTCTGGAATAAATAAATTTTTTAAAAAAGCTTTCTGGGGGGCTGGGGATTTAGCTCAGCGGCATAAGCGCCTGCCTTGCAATCCCTGGTACCGATAAAAATGAAAAAGACAAAAAAAAAAAAAAAAAAAAAAGCTTTCTGGGAAAAGGGGGTGGGGGGTGGTGGTGATTCAGAGGTACAGCACCTGCCTGGCAAGTGTGAGGCCCTGAGTTTGATTCCTGCCCCCACCCAAGAAGCTGGGCCTGCTGAACCCCTTTCTGTCCAAGGTTCATTTCCCTCAGTCTGCAGAGGGAAACCGTAGTGCTCAACTCTGAACCCCTAGCACAACTTGTGCAGTGGCTTAGGCCTTGCTATGTCTTGATCTCCCCAGGAAAGGCCTAAGCTGAAACAACCGTTCACCCAGCTGCAGGGAATCAGAAAAGACACAGGCACTGTACCTTTGGAGGCGGACAACAAAGGCCAAGGAGTGTTTATCAGGTGCTTCCAAAGCGCGAGGTTTCACTTCTAGTCGTTTCACGCGCACCATGTCACGCCGCTGTCGCCAGGAATCACGAAGGAAAGATTCCAGTCGCTTAAATCTGATCTCTTTTACCTTCCTCTTTGGTAGAGAAAACAGGCCAGCATCAGTACTCTGTGTCTGGACTCATCTTTTTTCTTTTACAGTACTGGAGGTTAAACCCAGGGCCTCTGCACTGAGCTACATCCCCACTGAGACAGGGTCTCCTTAAGTGGCTGCCATTACAAGCATGCATCACCAGGCTCCTCTGTTTATACTCATTGATTTCCACAGTAGTAATTTTTGAGTCACTAAAGATAGAGCATAAGTCTATGTCTTGCAAAGGGGAGCAAACAAGCATATTCTACTAATATATAAGGGAAAAGTGAGAAATCAAGGAAAGAATAAGAAAGCTTGGGCCAGGTATGGTGGTGCATGCCTGTAATGTCAGCAGTCTGAATGCCGAGGCAGGAGGACTGCCACAAATGTGAGACCAGCCTGGGTTACACAGTGAATTCAAAGCCAGCATAAACTCCAGACTCAGCCTCTGTCTCTTAAAATACATGAACAAAAAATAATAAAAAATAACAAAAAATAATTACTGGGAGAAATTTTTAACATATAAACAACTTACTGGATAAAATTCACCCAAAATGAATTCTAACACATTCTTCTAGAACCTCCAGCATTACCTCCTTCTTTGCCAAAAGTGCCTGCTTTGCCTGGGTGGCTTTGAGGGCTTGATAAGCCTTTCTCTTTTTCAGGAGATTTTCTGGAACCAAGGGGATCTTTTTCCTTTGCCTGAAACAGAAAATCGAGATCAGCAGTTAAGATTTAGGAAAAATTCGCTCCATTTCCAAAACAATTCAGCATTGTAGTCTTCGGAGAACATTGTCTTCACGTTCCTGGGTCGGGTCTTCAACAAAGACCTTTAATATTTACTCATTCTCAAAATTTTAAAAAGCCACCGAGCCGGGCGCGGTGACACAAGCCTGTAATCCCAGCACTCAGGAGGCTGGGATTGAGTTCTTGGCCAGCTTGATTTACAAAGCGGCACTGTTTAAAAAACGAGGCTATGAACCCTCGGTCTGAGTTCGCCTAAGTCCACGGTTGTTATAGCCATGATTTTCCATACACCAGCAGCTCTAAGATCTAGTAAAACTTTAGCGTTGGTACTAGCCCCGAATGAATACTGAAAGTTAAGCTGCATGAAGTCACCTCTGGTACTCTCCCGGCACTCTGTGACAAACCTACCCTCCGGACCTCAGTTCCCTTATCCGCCGCCCTCTCCAGGCAGCCCGAATTTGACTGAGGCCCTCTCCTTTCGCCCCATCCCTAGAGTACCTCACTCCCTATCGCGACCATAGTGTAACTTGAGGCATGTCCTTTTTATCTTTCTATAACCTCCTTTCCTATCACCAAACCATTAATTACCAAGGATGGCATAGGATATTTAAAGTCCCATCCCACAGTCCCTAACTATCCAAACTCACTCATCCTCCGCCATGTTTCCGGCGTAGTGGCTACTGCTCATGCGCACAACGACCCGCCAGGGAAGAGAGGATCCGCTCTGTGTTTACTTGATCATCGAGAGGGCTACTCTAGCTCACGCTGGAGGACTCCGACAGCCAACGCCCATTTAGGAACTGTGAGTCTCTAAGAGGCTTTGCTTATCATGTGATTCATACCAAAAATGGCGCAAAGTTTCTTTCGCACCCCTTCCTTGTCTTTTATTGCCCATGCTATTTTCAAAATCCCGTTCTTTTCATTTAAACTACATTCTCGAACCTTTGGGGGAACCTTGGCTGGGAATAAAACGTTTCCCACAATGCACCAGCCCCTCCGCGGTGCTTACGCCTCTATGTTGCGCGGCTCTGCAGAGTCTGGCAACCTGCGACGGGGTTTTCGCTGGGCAGGGCGGTGCGGGACCTTGGCTTTGGCACCTACATATGGTGGAGGTGTTCGCAGACCGCGTAGATAAAGTAGCTCCGAGTGGGTTCAAGTGCCATATGCCTGTGATCCCAGCTTTCTGGGAAGCTGGGAGGCAGGAGGATTGATGAAGTTTCCGTCCAGTCTGGGCAACTTGGCAAGTTAATGAGACCCTGTCCCAAAATAAAAAGGAAGCGGTTATACAGCCCAATGCGAAGGCCCATGTGTCAATTCTAAGTGACATGCACACACAAAAGGTAGCCTGATTCTGCTGGCTTCTTTCCCTCGCTGGGTCTGTGAGCGTTATTTACTCCCTCTACCTCATTTCCTTACTTATGAGTAAAGTGGTAGCTTTCTGAGGACCAGATGAAATTCCATTAAGCGTTGAGCATAATCAGCAGTCAACACGATGCTGCTCACCGTCACTGCTGCCGGGAACTAGAAACGCGTGGCACATTTCAGAGCTTCCCTTGTGTGGCGCTCAGTGCCTGCTGTATGCTCTCAGCTATCCTAGGTGATGTCCTGAGCAGCACCTTAAATCCTGTCATCTGAGCAGGGTGTGGTGGCTCATGCCTGTAATCTCAGCACTCAGGAGGCTGAGGCAGGAGGATCCTTGCGAGTTCGAGACCAGCCTGGGCTAGAAAGTAAGCTCAAGGCCAGCCCGAACTGCATAGCGAGACCCCGTCTCAAAAAAAAAAAAAAAAAAAAAAAAAAATCCTGTCATCTTTTGGAAACCTGAGCATTCATACATATAGGGGTCACCTAAGGATCCCTTTAAAATTAAATGCAGATTTTTAAAGTTTGCCTTTTATAGGAGCACACTTACACTGAGCTATATCGCCAGCCCTATAAAAAACAAAAACAAACGAAAAACAAAGCCAGTTTTATTCTCTTGCAACCCCGGTACACAGGAGGCTGAGATAAGAGGAAAACCACATGTTCAATGCCAACAGTTAATTAATTAATTTATTTTCCTTTTTATCGGTACCAGGGATCAAACTCACGACCGCCTGCTTGCAAGGCAGGTGCTATGCCGCTGAGCTAAATCCCCAGCCCCGCTTTTTTTTTTTTTTTTTTTTGAGTCAGGGTCTTACTATGTAGTCTAGGCTGACCTTGAACTCAACTGTATAGCCCAGGCTGACTTGGAACTGATGGTGATTCTCCTGACAGCCTCCCGAATGCTAGAACTACAGATGTGCACCACCTTGCCTGGCTGTTTATTTTTTTTAATAAAAATTATTATTTATTTTGTTCTCATTAGTAGACAGTCTTGCTGTATTGTTCAAACTGGCCTTGAACTCACTATGTAGCCCAGGCTGGCCTTGAGCTCAAAGTGATCCTCCTGCTTCAGCCACCAAGTGCTGGGATTACAGGGGTGTACCACCGTACCCCAGCTGGACTACACTTTGACTACCAAGGGTTTTGAGTAATGTCTTTCCTTTCTCTGAATGGTTCTCTTAGGGCATAAGAAAATGCTACCAGGCAGGTGCCGGTGCCCTGTCTTAGTCCCAGCTGCTGGGGAGGCTGGGGGAAAGGGTTGCTTGAGTCAGGGTGTTCAGACCATCCTGGGCAACATAGTGAGACTGAGCATCAATGAAAAAAGAAAACGAATAACAAAAAGAATCGGGCTGGAGATGTGGTTCAGTGATCGATGTCTCCTGGAAGGCCTGTGTTCAATCCAGCCTCAGATCGGGTGGGCGGAGCTTGGATGTGTTCCTGTTTTTTGGTCCTACCTGAATCTTCACCAATCTCGTCTACTTCCAGTTTCTCATTGTTGGCACGTTTGATATCTGCAGCAGAACAATTCTTTATTCATGGGGGAGGAGGCCTGTAAGGCTATTTTGTAGCATCCCTGGGTTCTGTCACTCCTTAGATGGCAGTAGCACCTCCACCCCTCCTGAGACAATCATGGATTAGCATTGCTGTGTCTAGTACAGTATGTTTACTTATCCTAAAGGTCTCAGGCAATGACATTATTTTTGCAGCACCTAAAAGCACTCCTGTACTTTGTCTTTTTTTTTTCCCTGTACTTTGTCTTAATCCTTAGGCTTGCATTTCCCTAACTGGGATGAATGTTGACTTTTTTTTTTCTTCTGAGACAGGGTCTTAATACATAGTTCAGGCTGGACTTGAACTCATTTTGAGCCAAGAGTGGTCCTTGAACTTGTAGCAGTGTCCTGCCTCGGCTTCCTGAGTGCTGATTACAGATGTGTGCCACCACACTCTTTGCTGAAAACTCTTTGAGGACGGGAGTTTAACATACATGCATCCTCTGTATCTTCTGCAGCACCTGTTACGGGGAGGGCCTGCAGGGCTTAAGTAGATCTGGCGATGCAGGGCGTCACTGTGCTGTGTTAACTGTCCACCACCCCGAAAGGCAGTGTACACATTGGCTGCTTAAAACCTGATAAAAGTGAAAAGGAATGACATTCAGAGTCTTGGTGAGGGACCAGAGGCTCATTCTCACTCATTCCACGCTCTACCATGTGCATTACTTTAGCAAGAAGCAAAAGTGAAGGTTCACAAAAATGCAAGAGCCATTCAAAAGTAAACGAGGGCAAAAAGAAATCAGTACTTTGTAGCTTTCCCTTCCTGGAAATAAAAGAATTTCAGGATCTTTAAGCATTCCCAGCGGAATGGGACTTCGGATGTGAAGATGCAGGAAATGGTCTTTTCCCGGCCAGCAGATGGCGCCAGGAGACCACTAACTCTCCTCCCGACGCTGGCGCAGCAGCAGACACCCGGAAAGAATGGAGTCCTTTCAACCAAGAACTTGTACACTTACTAAATTTGCATTTACTGAGCACTGACATGACATGTAGACGTTCTTTCCCCCTAAAATGAGAATGTGGCTTGCCTATCTAGAACCTTAAAAACCTACTGTTTGGTCTGTTTATTTTATATAGTTCAAACTGGCCTTGAAGTCACTATGTAGCCAGGCTGGCCTGGAACTCAGTGATCCTTTTGCCTCAGCCTCCCAGTGCAGGGATTACAGGCGTGTACCACCAGACCTGGCTTTCTGTTCTCATTTTGGACATGTCCAGCACTAGAGAATCGTTGGACTATCATGGACAGCTACATGTGCAGTGATGTAGGGCTTCATAGATGGACAGTTTTCATGTTTAAGGCCTGCCAACCTCCATTCCCATCTCCCACCTCCTAAAGTATCCCACCTCTCCTGAGAACTGGTCTTTGAAGCACTCTACCACTGAGTTACATACATGGCTTCTTTAAATTTTATTGTGAGACAGGGTTTTGCTAAACTGACCAACTTGGCCTGGAAATTGCAATCCTGCCTCAGCTTCCAGACTGTTGGAATTATAGGTGCTCACAATTGCACCTAGTCCAGCATTTAAGTCTCTGTAAGGGTTTTTTTTTTTTTTTTTTTTTTTTTTTTTTTTTTGTACTGGGAATCAAACTCAGGACCTCATGTTTTCCAGGCAGGTGCTGTGCTGCTGAGTTATGTCCCCACCCCTCTAAGATCTGTTTAATACTTCTGACCTCCCAGTGGTGGTAAACATAAGACTTCTCTGGGATTTTGAATTTTTTTTGGTTTGAGACGATCTTGCTGTGTAGTTCAGGCTGGCCTTGAACTCACGATGAGCCCAGGCTGGCGGCCTTGAATATGAGGCTGTCCTCTTGCCTCAGCCTCCAGAGTGCTGGGACTAGAGGTATGTGCCATCACACCTGGTTGGGATTTTGAATCTTGAGCAAAGTACTGATGCAAGAAAATAGCAAGAGGCTGATTTTAAAGAAATGGGGAGAGAAAGTTCTCTCCATTGAATTGCATCAAATGTGAATCCCCAGGGGAACATATTATATCGGCACTACGCCTTTATGTAGAATGGTTTTACTTATCCTTTAGCTTTATCTTCGTCCTTACAGAAATAAATGACCTTTTCCAATGATCCTCCCCTCTCCTTCCTTAGCAAAGGATCACGGGATAGGAATAAGGATGGAGGCCAGTCAAGACCAAATTTCTGCACCACCAACTTCATTTAATTGATGTGTTTAGAAAGGCCAATCCGTTAAAATCCTGTCCCTTCACTGGGAAAGCTACCTTTTTGGTCATAGTAAACATATTTAACCAGAACTCCCACTGAACCTTTATCTTCCCTTTTTCCTGTTTGCAAAATCAAGACAATCACAGTTGCACATTTTCCCAAATCTTTGGCTGTATTGCAATGGTTGTTTCATTTTGTAATCTCCAACTAAACATTTCCTAACCATGGATTAACAATATAGTTACTGACTGGTTTCTTTTTAACAGTATTTATCCAACATAACAAAATAAACTGCGATTTGTTATACTTTTTTTTACAAAACATTTTATAAATATTTTTACAAAATGTATACAAAGCAATTTCAAGTGAGACATACTATACAAATGAAGGTATTTAAGCAAATAAAGCCCCCACCACACTGACAGTGAGTGACACGTCCTCTTGCAGTCAAGTCAGTCTGTAAGGCCTCCCTAATCTAACAGTCTACTGAATTCTTCCCAATGAAAATACTCCTTTTTCGTAATTGCCAGCTTAAAATTTGCCTCAGCTTCAGACAGTACTTAAGGACACAGAAAATCAAATGGGTAATAACACATTCACACACTTGCACAACAAATGGAAAAAGAAAGAAAGGAAGAAAATGATTTTTGTTACTGAATACAAGTCGTTCTGAAACTGAACTTTCAAACCCCGACAACTGAATCTTGGCTATCAGAGGTTGCACTCTCCCACCCTTGCCAGAGGGGGCGCCACACCACACGGGGACCCCAGGAACAGAACCTAAGGACAGGGTAAAATACAACTGTAATCTTCATTTGTCATTATCTAGACTCTTTTTCCTTCCACAAAAAGTAAGCTTACATACAAGGACACAGATTTACATGCTTCATTTTGGTAATCAGGCTCTCTGTCTGTGGGGTAAGTGGGAGGACTTAAAAAAATGCTTTAAGATGGCATAGAGAAAGAAGCCAGGATTGGGGAATCAGGGCAGAGGTGACAAATGCACACGAGGCTTATCTCCTCTCTTAAGAATTCCACCGAGCCAGGTGTGGTGGTGCATGCCTGTAATCTCAGCTTCTAGGGAGACTGAGGCAGGGCAAAGCGCAAGTTTGAGGCCAGCTTGGGCAACTTAGGCCCCATCTCAACAAAACAAAACGGGGCCGGAGATACAGCTCAGCAGCACAGCTCCTGCCTGGCAAGCGCAAGGTCCTGAGTTCAATTCCCGGTACCCAAACAGAATAAAACAAAACCAAAGCTGAGCGAGGTGGCACACACCTGTGATCCCAGCACTTTGGGAGGCTGAGGTGGAGGGATCACAAGTTTTGAGTCTCACCTGGGCCATTTAATGAGACTGTGTCTTATAAAAACAGACAAAGTTAAAAAGGGCTGGGGATGGAGCTCAGTGGTAGACTGCTTCTGGGTTTGATCCCCAGTACCGAAAAAAAAAGCAAAAGAATTTCATTGATTTGCAGTAATTAATGCAATTCATTAGCAGCCCACATGAAGGCTTCCAGGTAGAAAGTTCCACAGTCAGAAGAATTTGATTGGTGGGGACCATTTGAATTAGAAGGAGTACTAGTAAAATCCTGGGGTTACATACAGGTAGCTGTTAAACCAAGGCTGCCCCAACATAAAGGTGCAACTGGCAATACCAACTTCTCTAACAGGCTATAATGCAGGAAGGGACCTGCCACGCGGACATTGGCACAAGCAAGGAAGCAGTGGAGGCCTTGGCGGGCCCAGCTTTTCCCTCTTGGTGGGGCAGGAGAAGGTGTGCTACGCCGCTCTCACGCAGCCTGGCCATGGCAGGCGTCTCTGTGGCGGTGAGTGGGGGCGCAGGGCGCAGGTCTTCTGCGGCTGTGTTTCTGGATAATCGGAAACCTTCCTTCCCACTGCGGGCCCAACACGGTGACAGTGGGGGCACCCCGTTTGAGGACACATCCGCGTGAGACCAGTGGGTGCTCCTCTGGCCAGGGAGGCAGCGGAGAGGCGATGAGGGTGTGCAGGCTGTGACCCAACAGCGCAGACCCCTGCGCCCCTGGAGAAGGGGGACCACTGTGTAGCAGGACCAAAACCACCACAGCGATGGGGCGACGTGGGGCAGGTGTACAAGAGAGGAAAGTAGGGAACATTCCCTGAAAAGAAGTGTAATAAATAAAGCAGGAAGTCATGTGCACAGACATGAACACGGCCAAACACAGAGGCTGGCTGGGTGTGTCCTTTGGCTCTGGGGAGCCGGGTCGCAGCTCTCCGTGCAGTGATGGGCTGGCTGGTTACCTTTGGTTTGTCTGTGTTTTGGTAATGATTGCTGCCAGGGTGACTACTGTTCTCCGACGACAAGGAGCATCAACAAGGCCAAAGTCCCCTTCAAGTTTAAACTGAAAAATTACAACACAGTTTTCTAATGAAAGTGCTTCTGATGTTTGGCTGTTTGCTGTGAAGCGGGTACAGAGGGTCAGGAAACACAACCCAGTAAGGGACAAAACATACACTGTATGTTGACTCTACCCAATTACAAAATGCAAAACTCTTGTTTGTTCGCAGTAGTTAACATATATATGCTTTTACATATATACATATTACCATCCTCATGGCTCTGCTCCGGCCTCCCCTCTACACTGTGCCACTTAGCCCAGCTCCGTCCTTCTGTGGCCTGGGGCTCACTTTGGGCCCTGCTGTTGCAGCTGCAAAGAGAGCTCTCCCTGGATGGACTCAGCACAGGTGCCCAGGAGCCCCAAAAGCACCCCAAAAGCAGCACCTCATCCTGTCTGCACTCCTGGCTTGGGGGTCAGCAAGGGCTGATCGGGGAGCAACCTCGTGGTCTTCGATACCTAAAATCCCCAAAATGGAAACAAGGCCAAAAACAAAAAACAAAAAACAACAAAACAAAACAAAACAGAAAACCAACAGCAATTAGGAGCTACGGTAGGATACTCTTAAAAAGTAGCTTCTATCGGTCCTATTTGATTTTCTTTAATAAGTCTGTTCTTCTCAAAAGACTTCTGATTGTCAAAAATTTTCCCAGGGCCAAGTGTACTGTGGACTCACTGAGTGACAGTGTTTTAAAATAAAGACACAAAAAACAAACAGACAGACAGAAAGGACCGTCGCGCTTTCAGAATACTTGAATGTGTGGGCCTAGCAGACTGCTTTCTACCGAGGGTCACTTTCCTCCAGGATCTCCCTGTAACCGCGAGAGTATTGCTCTGAAACCAAGGGCGGGCTGGGAGAGAAAGGAAACCTGCGCTGAAAGATGAAAGCAGGCGAGACGAGGCCGCGGCCGCTGCTTCCGCTGGGGAGCAGCTAACTGGTCTGCACTGGGAGGGAGGGCGGCTGCCGCTATTAACACTCTAGGATACTATTTACAGCTGCTTCCAAAATGGAGTCTGTTTCTACGACACCTTCGCTGTGGTCCGGGATGAACTTCTCCAGGCAGTTTTCCTGGGAAGCCATTGGAGAGAAGCTGGGGAAATCGAGCTCCACAGAGCTGCTCCCTGCTGGGTCACTCTGGGGCTGCCGCCCGGCCTTTTTGAGTTCCAAGATGTTCTTAAATGTGGTTTCTAAACTCTTGGTGAGCTGGAGGTCGGCCTGCGGCTCCCCAGATCCCTTCATGATGTCTGTGTGCAGGACCTCATTCTTTGGGGAGTTCCTCAGAGCTTTGTCCTGGAAGGAGTTGTTACACGTCATCTCCGAGTGCGAATCTGCGAGGATGCTGGACAGTTTGCTCTCGGCACCGTGGTCCGTGCGGGACAAGGTTCTGAGGTGGCCCTCGGGCCCGGGGGAGCACTCAGGGCCCTTCCTGAGGTCTCTGCGGCTGCCCTTGTCATCACAGGCGCTCCGGTAATGTGCCAAGCCCGCTTTGCCGAGACACTCCGACTTCTTCAAGATGTTTCCCTCCGCGGAGACCACGATGTGATTAGGCACCGGATGAAACTGGTCATGATTCGTTGGTTCTGTCAGGTTTGGCTTGGCTCGGTCTCTGCTTTGGGCCTTGGCTGCCAGGTGGAGTGAGCTGGCCGCTTTCCCTCCATGCTGCTCGCTCCTGCCAAACGGTGTCTCATGAGCGGCTTTATCCAGTTGGAACGAACAACAGAAATCGGCCTGAAATCCCTCTGCAAACAGGAGTAGAAAGAATGTTAGCGAGCGAGAGAGGGCAGGGAGACTCAGCAGACCTTCCCAGGGCAACATTCAGTCACAGCCTGCAGAAGCACCATAAAGAAAGGGCATCTTGCCTGGCATGGTGGCACAGGCCTTGAACCCCAGCACTCTGTGAGGCTGAGGCAGGAGGATCGAAAGTTCAAACCCAGTTTGGGCAACTCAGTAGTTTAATAAAAAACCCTGTCTCAGAATTTTAAAAAGCTGCTGGATGTAGTGGTGTACGCCTGTAATCCCAGCTTTCGGGAGACTGAGACAGGAGGACCACTGTGAGTTCAAGGCCAGATTGGGCTATATAGGGAGGTTAAGGCCAGCTGAACTGCACAGTGAGACCCTGTTTTAAAAAAAAAAAAAACGAATTTAGAGTAGGGATTGGCTGTGGAGCCCTGGAGTTTCACTGGGTTGGGGAGGGGTGGGAAGGAACAAGGAGGGAGAGACAGAGACAGAGAATTCCATCAATGTAATGTAGGCTCTGGAGCTTCTAGCAGGAAGCAGAATCTCTTTGCAAAGGTAGCTGCTTGATGTCCGGTGGGAAGATGCGTTAGGTCAGGCAGTAGGCTCCACCTAGCCCGCACTCTTGGCGTTGTTATCATTGTTGCCTTTCTGAGGACAGGTCCGAGGCCACGCACACGCGCTTGAGGCTTGTGAGACACACAGTGTCACCTTCTGCTAAGCTCAGGGAGGGGATCATATCTCGTGTCTGTAGGCTCTCGAGGCCCGTCAAATGCAAGGCAGCACCATAATATTTAGGTCTTAGAGACAGTGAAGGGACTAAAGCCACAAGAAAATGACAGTCCGATAGCAGGGGATGAATTAGCTAAAGTATGAAGCTAAAATGTATTAAATATCATTTTGAAGACCACAGCAACTAATTTAAAAACTTGTGATGTTCTTTTGGAGGGCAGTTCTAGGGTACTGGGAATTGAACTCAGGACCTCACACTTGCCAGGCAGGTGCTGTACCACTGAGCTACATCCTTAGCTCCCAAAACTTGTGATACATTAAGTGAAAACATATTAGTATTCAAAGTCATACCTAGCACATGATCTATGATTGTAACTGTATACATGCGATACATGCAATGGGAGCCAGAACTGGAGGAAATTTAGAGAAATAAAAACATTTATAGATAGTGTAAACATAGGTAGAATTTATCATCTGTGAACTATTATAGTGTTAGTCGATCTAAAACTTTTAGATGAGGTGGGAAGATCACTTTAGCACGTGAGTTCAAGACTAGCCTGGGCAACAGGTGAAATCCTGACTCAAAAACAAAACGATATTTTATTAAAAAAATTTTTTTTCAAAACAATATTTTAGAGACTAGGAAAAAACAGAGAACTCTAATTTTGCTGCTGGGGACTAAATCCAGGACCTTGCACCCTAAGCACCTGCTCTTCCACTGAGCTATGTCCCTAGCCCCTGAACCGTTTTTAAATGACAGAGTATGGGACACACTTAAAATGTGTGAAAGTGGCAGGAAGCTAAGGGGGAGAGAGACAAGTCCTTCAACAGGGAGTTACGATGTTCTGGCTGTGGTCAGGGACTGTCCTACTCGTGTTTTCCTCCTGACCGTGACTTACAGATAGCAAGGGGTTCAATAATGTACTGAGACTTAACTGTTTCTAAGAAGCCTTCTGGCTTGCTTTAGTTCTCAAAGACAGAAAGATCGAGAATTTTCATTTTACAATGGGGAAGAAGAACTGCTTAACCAAACGGAACATTCCACTTGGGACTTCATAGAACAGAGATGTTCTCAGAATCTTCATACATTGCTCTCAACTCTGGGATTTTTCTCCCAAAAATTCATGTTCCACTTTCTGGACCTGCCCAAGGGTCAGCTCACACTGTGCCTGAAGTTCCCTCAGTCCCCGGGCCACGGTAGGGGCCTGCCGGAGTCTTACCGGGGTCTACAAGTGCCAGGCGCTTGTCTCGGGACAGAGACGCTCTCTCCTCCTGGTTGAACATTCTGTCGATCATCACCATCTCGGCAGAGGGATTGATTCGCTGATAATGAGAGAAGCCAGTCATTCCTGGTACCTTTTATTATAGTGGGCAACTGGCCGCGCCTCTGAACAATGAAACCATCAGAAGTAAGTCCTGGTTCCTATGTCCTAGTCACACAGGACGTGTTTTTAAAAGGTAATTTACGCATTGGTACAGAACTTTGAAGGCCCTACAATAAGAGCAGGTGAAAAGTAGTCTACCTTCCTGTTTCCCCTGTCCATCCACAGGCACCAGGTGCCTCTCACCCAGTCCCCCATCTGCCCAGAAGCTGCAGAGATGTTCCAGACAGACATGACAGCCAGATGGTTCCTGCTTTATGCTTGCAACCAATGTGAGCACTGCGGTTCTGTGGCTTTCTCTTCTTCCTCTCTGCTTACCAATCACTGTGTCTTTTCACTGGGATGACATTTTACTTTATATTCTGCAATGGTTTGTGTTTTTATTAAGGCTTCAGCTATACAGAATCAATTTTTTTGTCTTTTATTTTATTTTTTGGTACCGGGGATTGAACTCATGACTGTGTGCTTGCAAGGCAGGCGCTTATGCCACTGAGCTAAATCCCCGGCCCCTGTTTTTGTCTTTTTGAGACACTTTCACTATGCAGTTCAGGCTGGCCTTGAGCTCACTTTGTAGCCCAGGTTGGCCTTGAACTTGCAACGATTTTCCTGTTCCAGCTTTCCAAATGCTAAGATTTAAGGGATATGTCTTCAAATCTTAAACTGTATTTCCTTATTTTCCTTTCTTTGAGACAGTGTCTCACTATGTAGCCCAGGCCGGCCTCAAACTCGAGGTGAGCCTTTCTGTCTCAGCCTCCCGAGAGCTGAGATTACAGCTGCATACCACCATGCCTGGCTTCCCTAGCTCTTTTATTTGTTTGTTTGTTTCCTTTTGAGAGAGAGAGAGGGTCTTGCTAAATTGCCTAGACTGAGCTCAAACTTGTGATCCTGCCTTAGCCTCGGGAGTGGCTGGTATCACAAGTGTGCACCACCACACCAGGGGCAATAACACTGTCATTCCTAAATGCAGCTTAGTCTGCCTTGATCAGCCTCCCCGTTCCTTCCTGTCATTGTCTCCTGGCTTTCAGGACCACCATTCTGCTCTCAGCTGCTAGGAGACCAACTGTTCAGATCCCACATGTGTGCTTCTGGCCTGGCTCCTTTCAGTGTAACAAAGTGACGCTTCGGTGTGAAATGAGGAGAGTGCTCCGCTATGTGTGAGCCACACAAGGTGGTGCGGCCCACGTCACCTGCTGTCACTCAGAATGGCTAAGTGTGTTTTCTTCAACTGGGAATATCTAAGCTTCTTAAACCATGTTCTGCAAATGCAATCCCTTCACCTCTTCCTGACCCCACAGCTGGGCTGGGCTGGAAAGACAATGTGTTAAGGGTGCCACGTACCATGGCGTCTTCGAGAAGCAGGCATCTGTATTTGGTAAGCATAGCTTGTGTCCTTTTTAGGAGCTGAGTGGCGATTGTTTCAAACTCATAGTCCACTGTAAAAGAGAGAAAAGGGTCAGTGAGGGTGGATCGCCCACTGGGCCTGGGACTCGCTCGGAAGACTGGAATGCACCGCTCCCGCGCTCCTCCTGGGTTAAGTGTCCTGTCTCATGTCGCTTTCCCTTGCTGTGTGCACGTCCGGTAGCAACTGAAACCCTAATGCTGTGAGTGACCCCCTACAAGAGGCCACCAACAGTGAGTAGGCTGAGCGCTGCTGGTCTGACCAGCCCCTGTGTGTGCGTGACTCCACAGGGTACAGATACAGTTGGGGCCCCGGTCCTTTTCTTTCCTGTCACTTTTTTTTTCTTTTTTTTTTTTGGTACTGGAAATTGGACTCACAACCTTGTGCTCAGCTGGCCAGGCTGGCACAAACTGGGCCCTGACACCTTGTGGAGTGTGGTCTGAGGCTCTGTCCTACATTTCTGTAGGACAGGGACTTCACATTCTCTGACTCACTCATCTCTCGGTCTTCACAGCCCTGTTTAATGCTAGGCGGGATCTTCTTCCCCTGCCTTCTGGGAGGTTCACAGTGACTCTACTGAACTCTCAAATCAGAGGTGCCACCAGGAGCAGTCATACCAGGGGCAATGGAGGGAGGACGCTGAGAGAGTCAGGGCTGGTGGCTGGGCCAGGCAGGAAGATGGACTGAGTTCTAGGCTGGGGTTGGGGCCCAGGTCCCTTTCTTTCCTGTCACTTTTTTCTTTCTTTTTTTTTTTTTTTGGTAGTGGGAATTGGACTCACAACCTTGTGCTCAGCAGGCAAGCGCCTGAGCTACTGAGCTAAATCCTTGGGCCCCCTGTCAGGTTCTTGATGTAATGGTTTGTATTTGGATGCCCCCAGGAGTCCCATGCACTTGTGAGCCGGGGCTTTTGGAAAAGGATTGAATCTTGCAGTTGGGAAGCTGGGCCTGGGAAGAAGAGGTGGTCACAGGGCTGTGGCCTGGCAGGGGCATCTCCCTCTGCTGCTCACTGCTTCCTAGCCACCATGATCATGCAGGTTTCTCCTCTCCATGCCCCTCTGCCCTGCTGCTTCCACCTTGGAGGCAGCCGGCCTTGGATGGGAGCTGAGCCAAAATAAACTTTCCTGCTGTATCATAGGGACTGAGTTCTGTCTGAAAGAAAAAAGTGACAGGAAAGAAAGGGACCTGGGCCCCAACCCCAGCCTAGAACTCAGTCCATCTTCCTGCCTGGCCCAGCCACCAGTGATTAAGTGATTAAGTGATTAAGACATGTGAGGTTCAGCCCATGCCCCAGCCTAACCTGGACCTCTGGGAATGTTTCTGTGGTTCAACGAGCTACTTGGGGAACAGAGCTGGTAAAACCGCTGAAGGTGAGGCCTGAACTCAAGTGTGGTGCTGAGCACCGAGTCCAGTGCTGTTCTGCCTGCTTCCTTCACTGCCCACTGTGTGTCAGTACACCACCAGGGAGTGTGGGGTCCCTGTTCCAGAACACAGAGACGAGAACGCCACAGTCCTGCCTGTGGACTAACAATCAGGACCCGGGACCACACAAGTATGTAATGAAAACAGTGCCTGCTCCTGAGGGCAGCACGGCACCTGGTGTCGGTGCAGGGTGCTCACCTTTCCTCAGGTCGTCCTCGGTGGGCATGGAGCCCTGGCACACGTGGTAGGAGAGCAGCCTCTGTACTGCATCGCTGCGTGAGCGGAACTGGCTCTTGTTGGGGGTCACGGCATGGGCTTGGTCCCTCTGTAGCTGCTGGAGGATTCTGCGGAGGGAAAGGACAAGGTCAGTGCAATCAGGGAGGGAGGAGGAGTGGCCACGACACACACATGCGCAGAGAAAACAGCACCAGGAGGGCTGCTGTCACAGAGCAGCGGGGCTCCCCTTCAGTTCACGCTCTGTACCTCAGTAGGACAGTGTTGCTCCTAACACACCGGGGGAAGCCCATGGACTGCACAATGGCTGACCCTTGTCCAGCTGAGCACGAGCTATGTGACTGTCCCCAACACAGAGTTAGTTCATCAGGTTACACATCTCCTTGGAGACTCTGTCTCCAAAGAGACAGAGAACTGGTTTTCAGAACAAGAGAGCAAGGGCAGCTCAGCCATGCTGATACGCTCACTGGTCCCAATGAAGTCAAACTGCAGGAAAGGGTGTGTAAGTCCAAGACTTCTTTTTTTTTTAAGACTTTTTTTGTTGTACTGGAAACTGAATGCAGGGCCTCTGTACCATGCTATATACCTCCCTCCCACCCCGCTTTTTTTTATGAGTTCAAACTGGCCCTGAATTCACTATGTAGCCAGGCTGGCCACAAATTTGCAGTGATTCTCTTGCCTCTGCCTTGCAAGCGCTGGGATTCCAGGTGAGCACCACCACGCCTGGCCCTTCCTGTCCTTTTTCACTTTGAGACAGAGTCTTACTAAATCACCAATCCCCAGGCTGGGCTCAAATTTGTAATCCTCCTGAAAGTCCTAGAGTGATGGAGTATAGGTATGTACCATCATGCCCAGGCAAGGCACTTTTTTTTGTTTGTTTTATTTTTTCATACAAGGTCTAACCTGTTGTACTCTAAGAAAATAGCTTCGTTATATGTGTATTATAGCAAACCTGCAACATGGCTTACTAAATGTGTTTTTTTATCCTTTTTCCCTAACTAACATGTTAAGTGACCTAATTGATATGTTGAGCAATACTCTCCTCTGTAAAGAATTGCAAGAATCTCACCTAATTGATATGTTAACCATTGTTGCCCTCTACAAACTACAGAAGTTGTGCTAAAACAAGCTAACAAGGGTTGTTAATCACTGTTAGGCGCCTCTATTCTCCGCTAAAGAGCTAAAGAAAAACTAGAATGGCCCATTAATTTACACTTGTTTAAAGTAACCTGTTTGTGTACAGAGAGATTTGTGTATGAGTTTAACCCTTTACCCTGACCTTGACACATAACCGCCATTTTCTGTTCTGTATGGCGCCTTATTGCCTCCCTCTCCCCTCACCTCTCTATCTAGGCCATAAAGAATTTGGGTTTCTGGTGACCTCTTCCCGACCCGGTGATGATCTGTCATAAAATGAGCCTGCCCCAATTTTAAGAACTGTTTAGCTTCAAAGAAATTACCGGGAAATACTATGGCCCAAACCCCAATCAGTGCTTTCCTTTTGTTCTGTATGCATCAAATGAGTTAGATATCAGATCTTTGTAAAACTTAAGTTTCAGCTTCTTGTAACTCTTGACCTCTTCGCACCCATTAGCGAAAACGAGCTGTCCTGGGATAATTAACTTCCCCACTTTCTTCTCCAAATATTGCTGCAGATGTGCCACTCCGAGATAATGTCAGTCTGTAGGATGGGAGTGATTTGAGAAACACCAGGAACTCCCGAGATTGTCAGAGCTAAGTGGACAGCAATACAGTTTCCAGACTCGGGTCAACAAGTTTGATGGCTCTGCAGGTTTCTTTGTTTCTCCCCCCACCCTTTTCCTCCAGCCTCTTTTTAAAGTCCTCCCTTCAGTCTCTGGGACACAGTCTCCAAATTGGCTCCCGGAGACTGGTCGCCAGGCCTGGAAATAAAGCCTTTGCCACTTAAATTTTCGGTCTCTTGCCTCCTTGGATTTTATACCAGGGCCCAAGTTATAACATAACCCTGTAGTTTAGGCTGGCCTTGAATCTACTACTAGCCCAGGCTGGCCAGGAACTCACAGAAAGTTTTACAGGTGCTGGAATTATAAGCATGCACCACCACACCTGGCACAAAGTACATTTTTAAAAAGGTTAGTAAGTTCTTTATTGTAACCTGGTTTCTGGAGCGTGTTCCCTAAAGGTCAGCAACCCAGAGAAATGCTGGAAGTTAATCTGTCATTTCCAAAGGTACTCACAGAGCGCCTTTTGTGAGCTGTTTTGTGGCTGGCCTCTTCTGTCCTCCTGAGTGACTGTCCACCTGAGATCAAGACACCTCTTATTAGTCCCTTTTCTAGGAAAAACAGCAGCATGCAATTACACAAAAGGTCAATGTGTTCAAAGTGTTTTCAGGGGCTTATCAAGAGTGTATTCTAGGGGCTGGGGATTTAGCTCAGCGGCATAAGTGCCTGCCTTGCAAGCAGGCAGTCGTGAGTTCGGTCCCCGGTACAAATAGAAAGAAAAAAGACCAAAAAAAGAGAGTGTATTCTAGGACTCCAGGATGGACCCTGCTAAAAACCCAATAGGCCCACTGACTCTGGGTAACAAAGCTGTGCTGTGTTGAGGTCACAGAAAGCAGTGTCACTGACAAAGAAGGACTCAACTTTGTCTTTTGTTGCCCTTTATGAGATAAAGTCTCACTTTGTCAGCCAGGCTCGCTCTAAACTCCTGGGCTCAAGTGATCCTCCTGCCTCAGCTTCTGGAGTAGCCAGCTGGGAAGCCAGATGTGTACCACTGTACCCAGCTCAGATGTACCTGAGGCCTAAACCCTTAACTCTCTAGTACTATGTTCTTGAAGCAGTGTGTGTGGTTACCAGCTCCTTGAACGTCTAGACATCAGCAGATGCCACTTAGTCATCTGGTCAATGGTGAGTGAGGGATCAGCACTTGGGGCTCCACCATGCAGCCCGGGGCGTAGTCTAAGTGCTGCTTTCTTATGTCATGTTAAGGAAATAAGTCTACTGTGCGTCAAATGCTGAGAGAACCAAACAGATCCTTTTCTGGGTATCATGGGGCTGGTCTAGACTGTGTTAAATTTCAATAAACTCTTAGCTTCCTTTTGGGAATACTGGTTCTTGAGCATGGAACCTTCCCACCTCAGCCTCTGAGAATGCTGGGGTTATAAATCTGTATACCACACCCGGTGGTACATTTTTTGAATTCTGTCTAGTAGGTATGTTCTAGGTATTTCATTGCTTCATTCATTCATTCATGAATTGCTGGGGATAGAAGAGGAAAGTGCTCTACTAGTGAGCCGCACCTCAGCCCCTGCTGGTAGTGAGGAAATCATAACAATGTGACAGTCACAGATTGCTGTCATGGTTTATGTCTGTGACCCTCAGGCCTCATGCCTTTGCATTGTGCTTTTGTGACTGGTTCATTGTATAGTGCTTAGATTGATGGTGTCAGTGCTACACCGACGTAGGGGTGGAACCAGAATATATGTAATGGCAAGAAGAAGGTGTTTCTGGCTCTTTTTGCTGGTTTCTGCCTTGCTGTTTTGCAGCTGCCATAAACTGCGGCCCCGCCATGCCAGCCTGCCTTGGAGCCAACTGAGTTTAGACTAAAACCTCCAAAAACTATAAAAAATAAATGTTACCTTTCCCATCTTTTGACATCAGGTATTTTGTCTCAGTAACCAGTAAAAAGTAACTAAGACAAAATTTGGTACCGAGAGTGGGCTCCTTGCTGGGAATATACCTGACCATGTTTTTTGAGAGGCTTTTAAAATGGCTTGTAGGCAGAGTTTAAAAAGATTTGGACATGTCACCTGGATGCATAGAGCTTAGGCTGTTAAATAGAGGAGATTCTGGTCAGAGCTCAGGAGACCAAAAGGCTGATAGAAAGCCTCATGGTAAAGACCAGGCTTGGGAGATTTCTGCTAGAAAAAAGGACTTCATTGGTTGTTGGACTTCCCACGATGTGTGTTATGGCTTAGCAAAAAATTTGTCTGCATTTTGCTCATGCCTTTGCTCATGACTTTGTCTAAGACTAAACCAAAGGGCAATGGATTGATTAATCTGAAAAAAAAAAAAATTTCAAAGCAGTCAAATGTTGAGGCTGTGGCATGGCTATTGTTGGGGGCTTTTAGCCAGCTTTATGTTGCAAATCAAGAGCAAAGAGTCCAACAGGATAATTTACAACTCTGTAAATCTGGCAAAAAAAAAAAAAAAAAAAAAAAATCCAAGAAAGCTGTGGATTATAAAGACAGGATTAAAACTTTGATTGCTAAAGAAAAACAGAGAGATAAAGAAACAGGAGCTTTAAGCACACTTCTGTTCAGCCATGTAGACCACAAGCAAGCAGCCCCGCAAACGGTCCTCACCTGCACGGCTGGTTGCCCAGGAGACGACCCCATCGCCTTCTCTGACTGTGGCTGTGCAGTTCCTAAGGATGCTGGCATCACTTTGCTGCTTGCATCCTGCCCTGTGAGAATTAAGACAGACAACAGCAGAGTCATGTACATCAGCCACCCGATGCATGCAGGCACCCAGGCCTCCACGAAGCAGTCTCTCTCTCCAGGGGAACTCTTTCTGCAAGGATGGGAGCAGGGTGGTGCATTTCTCTGCCAGGCAGAGGGGAGAGCTATGAAAGCCTATTTAAGCAATTAGTTAAGTAAATGCTACTAAATAGAAGCTGCAAATGCTACGGTTTCAAATTACCTATGGACTAAGAAATAGGTCTCAAGCCTGCAGTCTATACACACTCCAATCCCCAAGTACAACGTAAGGCCAAAGAGGAAGATGACTCGGAATAGCCAAACGTTTTTTTCTAACATAACTGAGTAGCTCAGGTGTTCAAAGCCTTAAAAAAAAAAAGACAGACATAACTCAAAACCATTTTCAGTTTCAGGAGAGGATCCTTTTTGTGGGGGAGTAAGGGGTACAAGGGTTTGAACTCAAAGGCTTGGTACTGAGGTATATCTATAGCCTTTTAAAAATTTAAAAAAATTTTTTTGGTACAGGGGATTGAATTCATAACCTTGCATGCGGCAAGCACTTAGGCCGCTGAGTTAAATCCTTGACCCAAAAATTTAAAAATCTTTTGAGACAGGGTCTTGCTAAGTCACTAAATTGCCTAGGCTAAGCCCAAATTTGCAGTTCTCCTGCCTCTGTCTCCCAGAGTGTTGGGATTATAGGTATGTACTGCCATACCTGTCTGGGATTGTTACCATACATATATAATGAGTAGAATTATAAGGTTACATGCTCTATGTAATAGTGGGTCTCATTGCTTCGAAGCAGCATATTTTTGCTGGGCATGCTGGCACAACCCTGTAATCCCAGCACTCTGGGAGACTGAGGCAGGAGGACTGTAAATCTGACCTCAATCTGGGCAACTCAGTGATACTCTGTCTCAAAAAAAAAAAAAAAAAAGAAAAGTTCTAGTTTAGGTTTTGTCCCTCTCTTAGTAATAAACAAAGTGGTGACATATCTTAGGGTTGGCAGTGCATTATTTGGGTAAAAAGGGTAGAGTGAAAAAGTGTGCTGAGCGCAGGGGGCCCAGGCAGGAAGGGTCCATGCAGAGGGATTAGGGAGGGGAGGACAGGGCTCCTGACCTGGCAGCACGGTGCTTGGGAGCCCGGGGATCTGTGCTGGCCTCAGGCCATCTGCAGCCTTGGAAGTGGAAACAGGGGAGGTTTGATTCAAACTCTTTTTCTGAGCCTGTGGAACACAACCAAGATGAAAAAATGAGTTTTGTGACTAAAAGTTTATGGATTACTTCAAATGTCAACCCAGCCCCTCAAGGCCTAGCTGGCATCACTTTCAGTGATGATAAAACTTTCAAAATGTTATTATTTTAGAACACTGGGAAATTTTGTAATTATCCTCTTAAAAACTATAGCCACAGTTGGGTCCTTGTGTTGCAGCCTGTGATCCCAGCTGCTGGGGAGGCTGAGGCAGGAGGAGTCACAATTGAGGCTAGCCTGGGCAGCTAGCAAGATCACATCTCAAAAAGAAAAAAAAAAAAAAAAAAAGGAGGAAGTAAAATAAAACCAGCGGGCACACTGCATTTCCTGCTCTGGTCTGCGGAGGCTCAGCTAACACCAGACTGTTCTCTGCTCCCAGAACTGCTGCTTGCAGCGATTGGATGCAAAGGCTGGGGCCAGAAATTCCATGATTTCATGTCACATCTGCTGGGATTACAATCCTGAGTACCAGTTCCTATGTGGTCAGGCCCCGGGCCGGTTCCCAGCCTCCTGTCAGGAGGCATTGTCTGTGCTGCAGCAAGGCGAGTGCGTTTTATCCCTGCCCTCTGCGGTGTCTCCAGTTCATGCCTTGTCAACTCCAGGTGGCCAGCAATCAGGAAATGGCAACTGAAGTTACGGTTTACCTGGATGCAATGTAATAACTGTAGACAATGGCTACACTGTTGTGTTTTTCAGCTTGGTTTTCTTTTAAATGCAGGGGATTAAAACCAGGGTGCTGGGCACAAGCACAGCTGAGTCTCAACCTTCTAACCATGGTCCCAGAGCATGCTGTACCCTTTCCTTGGGACTGGATACTTGCTCCACTGGGGGCAGAGGCCAGGGTGGTGTGGATGGGGCCAGCGTGGCTGTTACTCCATCTCCTGGGGCACCTGCTAGGGCCCCTATGCTGGAGTCTTCTGGATGCCCCTTGCCTTTGTGGTCAGGAAGCCCTGTTGCAGGGACCACAGTGTCCACGAGTTCACGATGACCTGGTGGTTCTTAGTCCTCTGTTCTGAGGATGGGATTTCTGCCTGTCTGGTCACTGCTCGATGCCTAGCACCAGCACAGGGCTTCATACATCAAGCAAACAGGAAACAGTTGCTAAATAAAGATAAGTGAGTGAATTCTACCAAGGTACAAGTCACAGGGGCCTCGTCCCAGTCCCAATCACTCTGGCCTAATAAGCCATTGTCCTCCCATTTCCCCAAGTTCTAGAGTGTCCCAGCCGATCATCTTTTCCAAGGGTAACATTTAGCACTGTCTTGTTTTACTGAACTTTATTTTGTTGTTTTTGAGAGAAGGTTTCTCCTGGTAGTAGCTCATGCTTGCCTTGAACTTATTAGTGACCTAGGCTGGCCAAGAACTCCTGATGATCCTCCTGTCTCAGCCTCCTAAGTGTTGGGATTATAAGCGTGTATTACCTTACTTGGCTATGTTTTACTGAACTTTTAGAGGAGAGTACCTGAGACAGTATTTATTTATTCTTTTTTTTCTTGAAATATACTTCCTTTTCAAATATGAAAGCTACCAAAGGATAGAGATATTCTGATGTAGGATGAAGTTATGTCCAGACAAATTCATGCTGAAGTCAAAAACTCAGGAAGCTGATTCCAGAACCCCAGGAGGCTAAGGCAGGGGGATCAAAAATTCAAGCCCTCTGTAGGCAATTCAGTGACTTAATGAGAGCCAGTCCCAAAATAAAAAAGAAAAGATCTGGGGATGTAGTTTAGTGCAAAGGTCCTGGATTCAATCCCCAGTATTGTTAAAAAACAAAAACAAAACAAAACAAAAACCCAATCCCATTAAAGAGAACCATCCTAAGTAGGGACTATTTTTATTTTGTTGAGAATTTAGGTCTAAGAATTCTAATAATAATATCAATGGATAATTTTAACTCAAGGTCCATGAAACATTTGTTATCATGCAGACAGAAAAATCCTGTGAACTTGAGTATCTAATGTGTCAGTTCCTCCCCTGCCCCTTGCAGGACATGTTAGAAGGAGCCAATCCCACAGGAGCAAGATGCCACACATTTGTAAAGGAGGTGGGGCGTTTGGAGTCGGCCCATGGTTCTCCTCTGTAATCGTCCCATTGCTGTAAAAATGGTTGGTGGCCAGCAAGGCTGGAAAAACACAAAGAACTTCTGTCTGACTTGTGAGGAGTTTAATGACTAAAAGCTGAACAAACCAAAAAACCCACAATTTCCCCTAGATATGTCAGGGAACACCCCTCCACCCTGAAACCCCTAGGGCAGAGCAGCAGCTGGGCAGGGACAGGGTCACCGTGCAGCAGATCGGGAGCCTGGGCAGGCAGACTGCACGGTGGAAGTTGGGGCAGTCAGCGGAGGGCTCTGTAGCCTTCTGGGCAGTGTGAACTCGTGGGGACCTGGTGTAGGGTCCCTGGTGTTTCTGTAAGCTTCACCTCTAGGCACACTGCCAGGTCCTCACAGTGAGCACTTGAGAAAAGGTTTTGCTCGCTTCTTGCAGTGGGGAGCTTGGAGCTGTTCTGGAACATGCCAGAATGCTCTGTTCTCAGCAAGATCGGTGTTAGAAGCTCTCTGCCCGGCTAATTCAGAGCCTAACCGGTTTAGGTATTTGGGTTTTTGGGTGGGTAAAGGAAACATCCAATTCTAGCCCCCTTTTTGCACTTTAGATGCTTGTTTTGCTTGTTGAGATAGTACTTTTTGTTTGCTCAGTGTAGTGGTGCACATCTGTAATCCCAGCACTCGGGAGGCTGATGCAGGAGGATCACTTCGATTTCAAGGCCAGCCTGAGCTATACAATGAGTTCAAGACCACCCTGAATTACACAGTGAGACCCTGTCTCAAAAAACAAAACAAAACCAGAAAGAGATAAAGAAGGATGGCAGCGGCAGGTCTGTGGTCTGAGACAACGAGGAATGAGGAATGAGGTGCTAGAAGGGGGCAAAGTCAACCATGACAGAAAAGGCAAAGAGCACGGCTCCCTGCACCCAAGCCCAGGGGCTTTGCGGAGAGCAGTGCAGGAGAGTGAGGACAGCTGGCGGGGAACATTTCTAAGCAAAACATTATGCATCTGATGGCTTCTTTTAATTTCTTTGTAATTGCGTACAGCAAAAGTAAGAAAGAAATGACTAAAAGGAGAAATTTATTATTAAATGGAAAGCAGAATGTAAAATTTCTCAGCCTGGCCACGTAAATGAGAAAGTGTTCAAAGGAGACGAAGCAGAAGCTGCTCCCCAAGATGACGGAGCGACCTGAAGGCCAGGCAGTTTCCCAAGTGGTGCTGGGGCTGCAGCCAGGCCTTGTGCTGCCCCTACCGGGGTCTTTCACACTGTCCTTCCCCGCATGGCCCCACAGCTCTAGGATGGCACGACACTTTTGGAGATAGCCTTTGAGTGCCCTCGTGGGCTTGCTAGAGGGGTGCCTCATGCCTGTGTGCCATCCCTCTGCACAGGGCTCCTGGTTGCCCCAGCATGGCTTGGGCAGTAAGGGTACAGCTGGGCACAGCACCAGCCTGGTGCTATCATGTGGTGCTAACTCTGCAGCCGTAGCATTGACTCTGCACCTCAGACCCTGGGGACCACACAGAGGCCTCCAGACCCCAGAAATGTGGAGTGATTGGCAAGCAACCCCACTGGGCAGAGTTGTAGGCACAAGATACCACCTGCATGAGTCACTGCCCAGGCTGAGCCTAGGGAAGCCACAGGGGTACAGCTGCCCAAGTCTGTAGGGCCAACCCTACCTCAGAGTAGCAGGAGAAGGCACAGACAGTGGAAAGTGATCCTGGAGCTTTAAGTCGGGTCCCATCACTCCCCAGTCCCATTGCCCAGCAACATACACGCAGACACACACGCACACACACACCCCTTCACCCTGAGCACTGTCTCCAGCTCATTTTCATTCTTGGAGGCAGGGTTTTGCTAAATTGCCTAGGCTGGGCATGAATGTGTAATCCTCCTGCCTCTTCTTTCTGGACTGTTACAATTAGAAATGGGCTCCTTCATCAGCTAGGAGCTTTAAGGTTTCTGTTGTCCCTCCTGCTTTGCAAGACCAGTACCCTCGGGGCTGGGGATTTAGCTCAGCGGCATAAGCGCCTGCCTTGTAAGCGGGCAGTCGTGAGTTCAATCCCTGTTACCGATTAAAAAAAGACCAGTACCCTCTCTTCCCCCTACCTCTCCCTCTTGGCACAGGACTGCCTGTCTCGCCTCTGCCGCACTATTGTGTGCTGGAAGCATAGAACGCACTTCATTTCACAGGTGCACAGGGCAGGTGTCCCCTCAGGGTGAATCACACCTTGGGTCTCATCCCCGTCAGACTCAGAGGAGTCCCTGCACTCTGTGCTTTGGGGCTGGTGCTAGAATGAAGACAGTGGGGGCTAGTGGGATGAACAAATGAATTTTGCATGTGAGAAGGGTCTGGATTTGGGGGCTGGAGTGGGAGGTATGGTTTCTAAAGCACCCGAGGCACCTGGAGAGTACGTTCCTGAAGTTTGTGTCTCAGTCAGCTAACCTGCAGCGCAGCAGGGTGAGACTCTGAGGACCCACAATGAACGGATTAGCTCAGTTATGAAGGTGGAGCTCCCACAGAAGGGTTTGCCCTTCTACCTTCTTTCTCTTTCAAAAGAGTTCTTTTGGGGCTGGGGATTTAGCTCAGCAGCATAAACACCTGCCTTGCAAGCAGGCGGTCGTGAGTTTGATCCCCGGTACTGATAAAAATGAAAAAGACAAACAAAAAAACAAGAGTTCTTTCTTAATTTCTTTCTTTTTTCTTTTCTTTTTTTTTTTTTTTTGGTACTGGGGATTGAACTCACGACCATGCGCCTGAAAAGTAGGCGCTTATGCTGCTGAGCTAAATCCCTGGCCCTCTTTCTTAATTTCTTTTTTTTTTTTTTACATTTTTTTTTGGCCTTTTTTCTTTTTTATTGGTACCGGGGATCAAACTCACGACCGCCTGCTTGCAAGGCAGGTGCTTATGCGCTGAGCTAAATCCCTAGC